TTTTTTTTTTTTTTTTGGTATCCAGGATTGAACTCGGGTCCTTGTGCTTTCGAGGCAGGCAGTGACATCACTGAGCTAAACCCCCAGCCCCTCGAAATGTTTTTATAAAGCAACCCAAGCTCTTCTAAGGAAATATTTCAATGTTAAGTTGAAAAGCAAATAAATATAACTGAAGAATCCCCTTCTGCAGCTAAGGAACAAGATTTTTATGTTAGTAAAAAGCATTTTAATTGTCATCTCATCAATCAACAACTGTTGATTTGTATGAGACAACAAAAGTCCTTAAAGCAAGTGGGAACAACTTTGGGAAGTGGCTGGATAAAAAAAAAATGAAGATAAAAAGAGATGAAATAATACAATCCAGACATAACCTATGGCCCAATAGAATTGTTTTCTAAGATATGTGACTCTTCTTTTTGGCAGACAGTCATATGTTACATCATCCCAGCCAAAACTCTGGATATGAACACACAGTTCACATGCTTGGACATAATTGGGCAAACAGTTTTAATTTACTCATTCAGTAGGATTTATCACATTCTCACTGAAGGGATATTTGTGTCAGGGAAATTTTGGCCCCAAATTTCTTTGGAAGAGAGAAGCAGCAGTTTTCAACAGATGTGTATCTTTAGAACCCTCTGTATATTCCAAAATTCCAAAATTGCTTGTTACCTCAAACTTAGTGGTTTAAATAACATAAATTTATTGCTCTGTAGTTCTATAGGTCAGAAGTCTAACCTGGTCTTGTTGGATTAAAAATCAAAGTTTTAGTAGCTTGTGTTCCTTTCATGGGAATCTTTTTTTCCTTGCTCTTTCCAGCTTCTAGGTTTCATGCATTCCTTGACTATGACCCTCTTTTTCATCTTCAAAACCAGCAATGAAAGATCAATTCCTTCATGTATACATCTCTTTAAACCTTCTAGCAACAACAGGGAAAAGTTCTCCACTATTGATTACTTGTGTGATTCCTTTAGGCTCATTTGGATAATACAGGTTAATTGCCTCATCTTAATTTCATAATATTAATGACATCTACAAAGTCATTTTTGTCTCTTTAGTTATATATACACTTTATGCTGTTATAGTTGTCAAAAGTAGATCTATGAGGAGATAAGAATGGCTTCTCAACTGAGAAAATCACATTTCTTTTCTTTTTCTTTTTGTACCGGGGATTGAACTCAGGTCCTTGCGCTCCAACCGCTGAGCTAAATCCCTGGCTAAAATCACATTTCTTTATGAAAAATTAAATCCCTTTAAGGGAAGTGAATATAAATCTAAATATAATTTAAAGCTCTAGAGGTTTATATTTGTTATTCATTTGAGGATACTTTTGACAGAGCAGTTGCTTGTCTTTTCCTGGTCAGATATTACTTTGTATAAGTTTTTAAAATCATTAGGTCAGTGTTATTTACTATTCAAAATTTCCAGCATTTGGCTATGCCTTTCATTTCCTTTCTGCTGGTTACCGTGCCACCTGACTAAGCACTGACATGTTTAGTAACAATTTAAAAAACCATCACAGAAAGGAGGCTATGTATGGGATCTACAGCAAAAACTAAAGTGATAATAGCTGAGATTTCTTTTAACCTGTAAATTTGACTAAAGGAAAGATTCGGTAAGTCCAGTTCAT